CAAATCATCAACATCTTGCATAAAGAAAATTAAAACGAATAAGATTATGCATACAACGTAAAATATAAGCAATTGCACGACTGTCACATACAGCAAAAATTGTTAAATCGAAGGATGTCATTTGTAGTGATATAGGAAGACCATTTTCATTAATAGGTGGCGTTTCAATTAAAACACTAAAAGAAAAAGAATTTGATTTTTAATCTTATCTTATACAGAATTTTCGTTTAATATTTTCCTTGCAACTTACTTTACATTATTATTTTTAAATAGAACTTCATGTTTTATTAACGTATGTAGATATCTTATTCTATAACAAACACGAAGAATTGGCAAAATTGAATTAAACTGACAGTGTATTGTGGGAGACAAACATTAACAAATTAAGTGATTTAGTATTCGAAACAATTGAAATATAATTTGATACATCTACGTAATCATAAGGATATTTAAGCACAACTGAACGAAGATAAGATGACTTGTGCATCAATATAGTTCGAGTTAAACCCCATTTGTCGTTTTCATTCATATTTTTATCATTTGGTTGTTTGATCGCAAATGAAATAAGTCTATTTAAACTTTCAACTTGTTTAATAACATTTTCAAGTTTAGTTGATGGATTAACCGACATGAATATACATGATTGAAGATTAGTAAATTGATGTTGATTAAATAGTAAACTGATACTAGATGAACGATCACGAATTGTATCATAAATATATAGTGAGACGACTTGATGAGCAAGAAAAGTGAGATGAGAAGAAAGAAAATAGATTTCTCGATCAAAATGACTGTTTAGGATGATAACATGAAGTGGAATTGATTGTAGAATAGATAAAATTCGTGTATTCAATGAAGTAAGAGCATGTAAATAATCAAATATTTCGAAGAAAATCTCATTTGATAAATCTTCTAAATGGGTATGTGTATCCATGTGTATAAATGACGAGAATAAAAGATGGTAATAGTCATGTGGTTCAGTTTATTCTGTGTAGAGAATGTATCAAATAATAGAGAGATCGATAGATAATATGTTGTAGATATTGAGTGGCATCTATACATGTAATTTTACAGCTGTCTGCTCATCTATTCGTAGACAAGACATGATTCAACAGTTTCTGCTCTAAAAAACCAAGCTGCTTTTTCTTTTTTTCACCGGTTAAACATCCAAAAGAGACTTTGCTTTGATTTAAGCTCTTGTTGAAAAATAAATGATATAGGTGACGCTACTAATTAGAATTAAACATTCTATGTTATGTGCGGTAAACATGTTGTTGGTCGACAAATTTTTGTCGAAAGAACATTTCGTCGACAAAGTGCTTGATCGATTGTAGCATATCAAAAAAGTTACTTATAACCAGAGTTGCCAGGTATAAGAAGGAGAAATTCGGAATTTGTTTTCCAAGTCCGGAAAGAGTTACGAAAGTCAGCTTTCATCGATTTAAGTCCTGCTTTACTCTATTCAAATTATCAAGAACATTGTCCTTTATTTGCATAAAATGAATGTGGGTGTGGGTGTGGGTGTGGGTGTGGATGTGGGTGTGTGGGTGTGGGTGTGGATGTGGGTGCGGGTGTGGGTGTAGGCGTGGGTGTGGCTGTCGGTGTGGGTGGTGCGGGTTTCGGTCTTGTCTTCATCCAGACCCACACCCACACCCACACCCACACCCACACCCACACCCACACCCCACACCCACACCCACACCCACACCCACACCCACACCCACACCCACACCCACACCCCACACCCACACCC